GGAATGCCATAAGATTGAAAACAGCGATTCTTTGCTTATGCTCTATTCAACTTCGGGATTTCCTATAATTCAATGCACGCCTTCGATGGCATGATTATTCCCCATAAGACATACGAACAGAAAATCAAATTGATTCTCTACGATAGCGAGTGAGGTTATTGAAATGTCGCATACCTCATTGGATCGAATTTATGAGGATTCGGATAGATCTTCGGATTGTAATGAATAGCGAACACAGGAATTGAAACGATTGAATTCTGCTGGAAATGAATATGGTTGATTGTGATGGGTGATGAACATTCACGATCGAAACTGAACATTTTGTAAATTATATTGAACATTCTAAGAAATGCTCTTGTTAAACATCATGATAACCATTATAATTGACTATCATGATCCATGAGTAACATTGGCCAACATTTCATACTATAACCACAGAAAACTATTTTTTAGCCTATAATTAGATAAGCTCATCCAGATCAAAATCCGAAAAACTATATGTTAGAGATACATGATCAAGTGATCGCTAGTGACGGTAAAATCACGGGAATCCATACTGGTCGGTTCCATCTACGACTGGAAGAAACTCTCGCAAGTGGGTCGACCGTACAAAACTGACCGTGGAGCGGGTGGATACATTCGCAGTGTTTCCATCATTATCTGTTCCAAATAATGCATGCTTGACAAATCTTCATACGTCACAATTTCCTGCATAACAATCCATTTGTTGATGATCAGTGAACATTTTAAATAAAAACGAGAATTTTGAACATTATACAAACTTTATGTCCGACAACTTCCATGATTTCGCGATATGCTTCCTCCTGAGCAGTTGGATTAGTAGTCAAGGCGAATAACGCGAATTGCAGCGTCGATGCACTCGTTTCATAGCCAGCGATTAAGAACAGGAAACACTGACCGGCCAATTCCATATCACTTAGATGAATTTCTTTTGTTGTTGGTGACTGAAAATCTACGGATAATCTCAGAAAGAATGAAAATCTAATACAGAATTCATACGATATCATCATTACTACCCAAACCATAACCTCTACTTTAGTTCGCTATTCTAAAACATTCTCCGACGAATCCAACTGCCTTACATTTACTAGTGTAATCAGCATCCTTTTTCTTCCAAACTCTCATTGAGTAATTTATCTTAAATCAGTCTTCATGTTGTCTACAAAACCTATGACCTCTTATAACTAATAACTTTCGAGAAAGTTTCAAAAACCGCGTATGATGTGATCAACGACAATCTCTCAACGCTCTATATATAAATGCTCACAACCAATAAACACCATTAGTTGTAAGCATCCTACCGGTATCACACTCAGAAGATATCGTAAGAATTCATGTCTTCGTGATCTGTAATGGGCGCATTAAGTGCTAAAAAAACATTATGTTCGAAGTCACGACTAAATGAACGCACTGAATTTTGGCGGTTATCAGTTTTGAAGTACTCTTCACCATGTGCCGCATTTAAGAGATGCTGAATAAAATCGGGATTCTCCTGCAATGAAACGTACGAATTTTATGGAACGGATGATTTCCAACAGAAATGTTTCGGTTGAAAATTTGTTGTGTCGAATGTCTGATGGCTGGGAACTTTTTACATCAGATTAGAAGTGAAACTGTGGAATTTAACGAAGCGAAGATCATTTGGAAGATATTCAGTGAGAAATGAGAAGTGAGTTATCGTACCAATCGTGGTTTCTTCCGTCGTTGCTGGGCGATTGTTGTAGCGATACTTTTGAAGAATTCATTGCAGTCATTATCGAATATTGTTCTCTGTAGTATCTCTTCAACTGCACTCAAAACGTTTGGAAATAATGCTATAATCACTTCATATGACCTACGAGTTTCGCACAGGTACATTAGGGTTCTTCTGGCCCGATTAGGCTCGAAAATACCTTTAAGCTTGTCTCAAGCCTTAGCTCACAGTCAGGCTTTGAAATTCACAAGTACGCGCTTGTGCGCCTACACCAGTTTCGCTGCTTACCCAAGATTATGTAGTTTTATTACTTTGTCTTGCAGAAAGTTTGATGACAAATACAAATGAACTAACCATCGAGGATGAGTTTATAATCAGTGAATGTGAAGTTGAGTGCTTTTCGACAGAAATGGATGAATCTGGATTCGCGATTGCATTCGTGCGGTGATTGCGTTTGTGCATCGATACCAAATGCAACTCTCGCGATGATATCCATTGTTAAATCACCACATATTCTAACTGGCAAATAGTAACGTGTGAATATGACACGCAAACGGACTTCATAGTATTTTAAAGAAGAACGACATTCTTAATGCAAATTAAACAAAACGGTGATAAATGCTGTTGTTTGAGATCAGTTTGTCGCGGCGGAGCGCGAAAGAGACGATTCGTGAGGGACACCAAAGTGATATGTGAAATAAACCTTCAAATCTGTACTCTAGCTGTATATGTATAAGATGTACAGGGATATCATGCACTATCGATTCGGATGATGAAACTTAACTTTCGTATATCTTATTTGAAGGATCTCCTCACTTTTGTGTTTGTATCATATGAATGCTTTGTGTTCTGATAAAATAAAAGAGTGTTACTCCAAAATAAACGCCGAAACAGTTGCTGTTTGTAGAAGTACCACTAACGATGCAGTACTGCTGCTAGCGAGAACCGTTATTTGATACTAGGTTGTCGAACTCGAGGTAATCTCAGCAACATGAAATGTTGGTAGCAAGTGGAGGGAATAAGGATTTTGGTTGATTTGATCAGGAATTTTAGTTGATTTGACCTGTGGTTTCAGTGGATTTGACCAAATATCAGTCAGATCAGAGACAACTGAAGTTACGGTAAAATGACTAGTGATTGCATTAAAAATATCAATGTCAGTGCTAGGCCTTATTCAAACTTTATCAACCGATTGAATCTATGTTCATCCCGGTGTACAATAAAAAGGTAATGTACTCACTCCGCGGCGTTGAATGTTCCCTCATGTTNTCGCTCACAACTGGCATCATCTGAAGGTATTCTGCGATATTCGTTCAAAACAGAAACGCTTGAAGTAATTCTAATGTTCACAAAAATATTCACAATCGGTGTTGGAATATAATGAAAATTTCTTCTATTCTCAAAATTAGCATTCAACTGATCAAATATCGAACCGTTCGAATTTTACCCGTTGAGAATGTGGGAGAAATTATGCAACGCATTTGTTTCCATCGGTCATCCTTCATAACCGTCAGCATGTGATTTATAACATTGACACTGCTTCGAACGCAGTATTGAGTCTATAAACATGTTGCATTTCATTCGTGCTGTATAATGATGATGCATAAACTGAATGACGTATATGTAATTTCAAACCACCAATTCTGATAAATTTGTGCTCATTGGCCGAAATTCAGCTGCTGAAAAACTGTTCTAGCTGTCCAATTCTGAGTGACAGTACAATTTTAGACTTTTATCGAGCCATCGAACAGTAGCGGCATATTCCACTTTCTACACCCTCAAAACTTCCTGCACTCCATATAGCGACCCACATTAACATCGCATTTCTGAGGATGATAATTTAAAATTTAATTCTGTTATGAACAATGATAGAGTAGAGTGGTAGTACCCTTCTGTTTCTGAAATGTGCGAAATGCTCAACGAGGATCTTCTTGAGCATATCGAGGTCAGCAACCACAAGATCTGGCCGCCCCAAGAGCGATGTTCTGCAAATTGAATAAAATAACATCAACGGCACCTAAAAAGTCCGTGGATATTCTCAATTTAAGAAGCAATCGTTCAGGTGTTTTCGCTGTAACCTTGAAAAATTCTGTTTTCATCAGACGCAAAACTTATTTTGGAAATGATACGAAAGTCAAAATGCAATACGTCAATCCAGTAGTAATTGGCGTCCTTATGAACTGGATTTTCTATTTCATCTACTGTATATATCATGTCCTGAAGACGAGGTGCTGAGAAAACATTTGAGTACAAGGGAAATACCAAACCCGAAAATTGAACCATATCTAGCAATGTTCATTTCATCGAACCGCTCAAAGCCGACTTTCATGTCAATTGCATTCCCAAAGAGGATATTCGGCTTCGGTCCTTCGATACCTTGCTTCCGCCAGTAATTGTTTACACAATCGAGTTTTCTGTTAAACGAAGTTTTTTTCGGAATTACAAGAGTTATGTGATGCAATTCGTGAATGATTACAATTCCCAGAGAAACAACAACTAAAAGCTGATTCGATGCCTCCAGGATTTTTCTGATGTGGTCACGATTAGTAGGTGAATGGATGAAGTTTCAAAGCAGCAATTGATCACAGCAACTGATGAACTGATCAATCGACCTGTTTTACAGTTCACTTAATCAATTTATTAAGCGCTCAAATGACAACCTCTTACGCATGATAGTGACAGCAATTTTATGAATATTATCTAATAAAATGGTAGTCGAAGAAACAAACTCACATATAGCTCCCTGCAATCATTAGAATCGAACAAACAATGAAAAGTTGCACTGGAAAGTGACAAAAAATAAGGTACAACGAGATCAATTGCACAATGAAAACCTCGCCAATTCCGATTTCTTTCATATTCCGCTGAAAATATGAGTAGAACTGTCACCAAAAATAATCGAAGAATCGCAGCTCTGAACAAATGATTGTGATAATTTCTCGAAATTATTTAAGTTTCTGGCAAACCGAGCTATACGCGAATGGTAACCGTTTCCTAAGGCCTTGACTGAATCTGTTCCTAACGATAAGTCAGATCAAGCAGAATAGCTGTAACAGGTGCAACTCAATAGTTGCAACTTAACAGAGACCTCAATTTTAGGATGGAAAGCCTTAATATGGGAATATCGCACCATTTCTAGCTTTTTCTGAAGTACAATATTGTGAATTTCAAGATGAATAGGCGAGAGGAGTTCTATTCGCCTCCATGCAGTAATGCGCAATGTGAGGCAGACGGATTCTAAAATCCCTACTAAAAAAATTCTTCACGGGTAGATTGTGATCTCATTGCTAAGGGCTGAAATAAGACAGCACCATAATCATTATGATTCCTTCTGCAGACTGTTTGTTGTATAATTGTACATGTGAAAATGCTTTGAAAAGTGACTGATATGAAATATTTTTTCTCGAATCAAAAACGGGTTTTGATTCTTAATAAATGTACTCTGCTGCTAAAACAATATTATCATCTTTGCCTTTTTCCGAGAAAACGAATAATTGTGTTCGATGTGATGACATAATCAACGCTTTCGAGTGGTTTGTTTAGGCTGTTTCATTAATCAGGTTTTTTTTTTGAAGTATCGAATTCTTTTTTTCCCGATAAGAAATTGCTTAATTCGTTATTAGTTTAATGGCGGAGCAGTGTGAATGGCAGATGGAATTTTCAATTGTTTCACCATCGAAAGACAGTGTTTTAATGCAATGTTATGGCGAGACGGAGCGTGAACTTTATGCCGTCGATAAATTAAAAAATTGTTGCCATTATATTATTATTCAATTTGCGATTACGAAAACAATTTGGCGATCATATGGCTTTTGACGAGAGCACTTCTGAAACATCGCGTTTTCGCAACCAGAAGAAAAATTTTTTACACGATCTCCTCTTCATTCTAATGAATAAATTTATTCGAATGGATTCACATCAAAGCATCACTATAAATCAACATTGCAACAACATACGCAGAACTGATTTGAAAGAGAGGGATGAGTTTTGGACTGAAGTTTCCACAACGACATAGATCACGGAAGCAGCTCCTGGTGATACGAAATGAGAAAACTCCTTAGGAAAACGCTCGCTCAGGAAGATTCTCTAGACTTTGTGCTGCTCATCACACAATCCCCATTCCGCGTATGTCGCTGAGGCAAACAATAATATCGAACAATTTCAAAAAATTCACATGCAAAACAAACGAACATAATTGCAATCGAACAATAAGATCATCTATCAGTCTCAACAAAGTGTGATCACTCAGTGATTAATTAAAACATCAGCAACCGATTGGTTTGAAAAAAAAAGGAGATACACATCGATTTTATACCTCGATCAGATGTAATTGGCCGTTGCACATTTAATCGCTTCATCATATGTTGGTGGTGCCATCTTTGCCGACTGCTTTGCCTCATATGACTTTTGAGTGGAATGTTGTGAGGCTCTTGCTGCTGTACACGGACGAGGAATTACTGAAAATGAAATTGCTGTTTGTTGCCGAGTA